TTCCTGGCTTTTACCTTGCATGGACTCGACTATTAATTCCCATGTCATTCCTGAACATGAGGTCATAAACGGCCCTAGAGCATGAATTTTTCAATAATTCCTATACTACATGTTAATGTAATGAAAAATATCAGTTTTATTTAGTAATGATGTGAAGATCACTGGCACGAAGTTCCAACGTAGCACCGTTTAGTTTCAACTACTACTCAACCACACGTTAGAGGTTATCAATTAAATAGAAACTCTACCATAACTGGTTTCGCAAGCAGTTGCGCTAAATGTTTCTTGGGCTCTGCATAGATTTGCTTTGAACACAAAGAATCCATTGTAACTTCTAGTTTGAACATTGTATAATTTTTGTACACTTTAATTTACTTGCTACTGAATTTGGGCTGCCATCCAAATATAAAATAATTTTAGTACATGGACCATTGTACATGAAGCTCTGAACTCCTCTAGAATAATTTTGAGTGTTTTTTTTTATTTGGAAACTTTTATAGAAGGCTTGAAACCAAATTTAATTCACGACACCATTTTAACTTTGTGTTTTAGGAGTCTTGGGATACAAGAATCTACTTTGATTTGAGGGGAATACTTGTTTTCGCTTACTGGGAAGGATTAAATATTTTCAAGTATGTGGCCTCCTGAACTCATGGTCTTTTACAAGGCATGCAGCGAAATTTTCACTTAGCCTCTGACGTATGTAAGCAAATTCATATCTTAGTCATATTTTAGTTGGTCATATCTTATCGTCATAGACCAGCACTGCTAGAGACGGATAAAAACGTCCTATAAAAAAACATCTGAGAACCAATATTGCGCGTTGTTACCAAGATTGAAGGATAAATAAAAGCAGTTTGGGCTGATATGTTGTACTAGGAGCTACACAAAACTGTCCCGACGAACTCTAGTTCAACATCAGGGATAAGGTAAAGCACGCAACGATGTGTCCAGCAAACACACGCGAACATGAAAGTGGCTTCCAAAACCTTCGTCGCGAGTCAAACAAAATAAAAAACTGACAGTATGAAAGTTAGTTTTAGATAGTAAATGCAACTGAAAAAAATTAGGAATAAACATGTTTCAACCATGAATGAATGACATCTTTAAATGCATTCTGAGAAAAAAGACTAGTTGGATCCAAACACAGAATAAATTAGTACCCCCAAAAATACCAGAGAATATTTCGCGGTAATGGCTACTAAATCTATCGGAACTTCAACCCACTATTTTGTACTTCAAATTATCGAATCTCATTCAAAAATTAGATTCGCAGTCGAAAATATGAACGACATTTTAAATTAATCAACGGCTGACACGCACAGTTCAGAATTTAAGGTTTCACAGCAAAATGCGATTCAAAATAATGCAAAAGGTAATTTCATTTGATATGAAATGAAAATAAAGATCGTTTCTTAGAAGAATTCCTTTCTGCAATATTATTAATCAATGACGACCTGAAATTGTTCGATAACACTTCCTGCAACACGATGCGGATATAAGAGTACGAAAAGAAAGCAAGCAAAGAATGCGGGTGACAACGAATCAAAAAGTAACATAATAGCACCATTATAAGAAGGTAAGAAAAATGGAACAAGTAACAAATCATTTTAGAGTACTTGTAAAAATAACGCAATCATTCCATGCCTTTATTACATCTTAAAACTAGAAAAAAAACAATGGAACAGAACATTCAAATGTGAAATTTTTTGCTATATTTTGGAGCAAAAGGCATTTTTTTAATTCTAGCAATTGAATTTCAGGCAGAAGATTTCGAACTTACTCGCTCGGCCAATTCAAATTTGTAGGAATTACAGAAGCAGTTTTAATGATTGGTTATGCGAAGATGGTCTCGGCAAAGAGCTAACAACATGAACTAAGCAGTCTTCTATGTGCATAGGCCATAACTAGGAAAATGATTTCAAAAGAAATATAAAAATCAATGAAATTTTTCTGCACAATTTCTTCACCAGTATATCGATGAAAGTGTTAAAAAAATTTGGAAGCATTGCAATTCAATGAAAACTTCACATACTCGCAAACAAAGAGCCAGCAATGTTCAAGTGTTAGCTAAATTCTTTGCTCTGGTCTTAAGAAATACACTAATACGAGCAACGCGTGCTATTGAAGACACAACAAGCGAGGAGGCTGCCAATATTGTCTTGTACTCCATGCAAATACAAAAGAAGCACAAAAATAATAAGTTCAAAAATTTAGGACTGACAGTGCGCTCGATGAGATGTATGATAAAGCTTCAAGCGACATGAGTAAAGCGAGAACAGTTAGATTATCAACTAATCTTATTCGACACACCAGTACCGAAGTAAAAAAAACTTGCAACATGTCAACATAAACGTAGGGCAAAATGCACAGGAGTCGGGGTGCATTTAATGTTTGGCATGCGTATTACATTCAAGGACATCTTCGTGGTATAATAATGACCTGAATAATCTTCACGTGAACGTTAACTTTACATTCACTCAGACTCTTCGTTGTTTAATCCACACGAGACCTTTGATACGCAGCTTTGGGTCTTCCCAAAAATTTACGCAACTTCAGCTAACTTGCATTTGCTAGCAGAATAAAAAACTTGAATGAGACTTCGTTTCAATCTCTAGTTGAATATGAAGCCCCTACTCTTATAAGTTCATATTCTAAGCTCTGCAAGAAACTGACAATTAGGTATATTTAGGTACAGATAGTCAAATCCAGTGGCAATTTCATCAGCAACAATGAACGTGAGAGAAAATCATTCCACTCACTCGCTTTTCAAGTAAGTCGCTTCAGAATGAATTAGTTGGCATTCATCCTGAAAATTGTGGTTCATCAGCAGCGTCAGCAAATTCGAAGAACACAAATCAGACTGAGCTGAACGAGAAACAAAGACCAGATTATATTTCCAGAATTCGTCCACCACTGAGTTGGGAGTAATCGAAAACACCGCTCCATAGTACCGGACGAGACTGTTCGCGCCACTTTAGCACATGACGTGTCCGATGTCTCGACTTGAGATATCGTCGCTAAAAGGTCTTCAATCCTTTTACAAGGCCAAGGGCTTTATATAGTCATCTTTCTTCGTTAAACAGGGTACCTCACCAACGACGCAGAATACAGGTTACTTGCATGCGCTCCACCGGATGGCATGCAGCAAATGACCGAAACTGGGCATGTATAATTAACCATGCTTCTTCTGCGGCCTGTACAGTAGGCGATCCGAGTCTGTACATCTTGACAGTAATATTTATACATCGCACTCCCGAGACTGAGATAGCATCAACATTCACATCTACAAAAGAATTATTGCAATCGTTCGCTTCTAGCAACCTGAGGATTGACAAACGCCAAGCCTTAACTTGAGTCACAGCTTTCGATCGCTGACAGCAATTATTTGCACAAGCCAGCAGCAAATCACTACTAGATCGACTACTCAAGGCAATCGGTTCTAGATCAAGTTTAAGACCATCGAAAATGCATGGTTTACATCAGGTTATATTCTTCAATCCTAAGATGATGCTTTTCTCACCGTAGAAGTCAACATTTCTTGGCCCTCGAAGAGAACACAAGACGCTCGAATGGAACGACCTCATGCTAGCTCAATATGATTCTTAGAGCACTCGAGTCTCGGGCTTCCTGATAACAAGGGAGCTCACAGATGACTACTATTATTCAGAACTCATCCGGTACGGTCAGGTTTTTACTCTGTACACTCCATACAATAATCTACAAATGTGTACAATGAATAAGTATGGACATTTTCGAAAAATGAAGTTGATGCTCTGAGAAATTGATCGATCTTCCACTAAATTGAAGGTTCCGCGTGGGCAAAACAATACAACAAAATGATTCTAGAGCAGTAAATGTTGACAATAAATTTCTGAACAAGTTTCGTGACCAGGATGACACAGCAAGATTAGATACGATACTAGGTAAAAGTACCCATGATGACATACTCAAAATTCCTTTTTAACAAAAAAATACTCGTTTGACTCTGACTAAGTGACTAAGTAGCAAGAATTCACACACTGAGCAAAGGAGAAAGTGATCTTACACTATGCATTTACTCTGTACACTGAGATCTGACCAGTAACGAACGACAAGTTTTGTACACTGAAGAAAAAGTAGTTTCATCATTCAGTTTTCTATAAGGTTCGTTCATCAAACCCATGGTCTCTAAGTACAAAAATTATTCACATACATATACATCCAAACAACTTCACACCATACAAACATCAACAATATTTCAATCGATCCCGAATCAGTAGTCAAATACATTAGTGAACCTACCAAGTGAAGGCAAATTCCAGGAAGCAATAACAATGTTATAAGTAATTTATTCCTCTGGTAACCCACTTTCATCAACTACAAGATTTATCTTCTCTATAATATAGACATCAATTTAATGTCCCACACGTATCGACATATCAGCCTTAGAAATAGAGTATTGTACATTAGAAGTAAAAAACACTTCTTACTCGTTTTCCAACCGGAGTCAAAATTACCTTAAAGTTAATAATATTCTACAGCACAGGCACATTTTGAACCAAGCATGAGATGCTGGCTTAGTCAGCAGCTCCAGACTAACAAGAACTTGGGACGTCTATGAGCAAATGGAACGGCTTCTCACTGCAACGAACGGACAAGATACGGCGGTTAACAGAACCGAGCATGCGAAGATACATTTTCAACATGCGGAATTTAACAGTTCGAACTTAAAGTGGTTACGAAACACGAAACTTGATACGGCTTTTCACGAAAATCAATTGTAAAAAAACAAAAGCCTCAAAATATTTGTAATTCAATTAACGTAAGCCAAAAACATGTGAATCTAATTTATAGTCATGGATACGATTTTTTTCAAGAATGAAACGACTCAGCACATGGGTACGATTTATCAGTGAACATTTAACGCTCTATGGATTCGAGATATGTAAACAAATAATGAATCAACATTTTACATCAGCAACTAAACGGTAATTACAAAATATTGGTCGATCTTTGTTTTAGACAGGTGGTAACCCATGAACAAAGCGCACTTGTGGTCCCAAGTCCAAGTTAAGATTATTGAATGTATCACAGCATGAAGGCTCGAGTAGACAAGACACGCAGAGCAGTAGGAGCAGAGCTGCCTGGATGGGCAGAGCGAAGCGCACTACCCGCCACAGCCAACCGTTCTTAGGAGTGCGTGTTGCCAGCCTCGATGCGCGGCTCGGCGACGATCTGTTGCCTCTGCAAATGCGCGACTGGTTTCCGGAGCCGCGGCGTCTGTGAGAAGAAATGCGAGTAAATATGCGTTTTTCGAGTAAATATGCGTTCAGTAAATATGCGAGAGCATTATTATTAATAATAGAGCCTGACTACATTCAGAGTAAAATCTAAAACAATATCCGTTATGCAAGTCTAGAAAATCGGATGTTTAAAACCGGTAATGAGTGTGTAAGCTGAAATCTTTACAGTGGGCTACTTCCTATTAAATTTGCACCCTTAGCAACAAAATTTGATTAAAAAGCAGTAAATACAAGATTGCGCCTAAATGGATCAGAATACAATATTGTGCACGAGTTGAATAACACTAAAAATTTTCACTATTATGAGCTCTACATAATAAAATTTCTTCCATATGTTTGCATCAAAATTTTAATGAGCACAGCAGCCAGTTAGCCTTAAAAGTCTACAGTTTATAGTTCGTACAAATGTAATGACATAACAGAATTGTTCATAAAAACACATACCTGCTGGAGCGGGAGCACAGCGCACCGCTGGCCGAAGAAGGAGCGACTCGTTCAGCAGTTTTAAGGAGCAGTTCCCGACACCTCTTCTGGAGGCTGCTGAGCTCGCTCTCAGCGGTGAAAATTGTCTACGACCATAGAATATTATGAGATTAATAAGAAAAGAAATCCACATATGTCAACGGATACCATGTGTTAATTACTACACCATAATGCAGGCTGAGATCTCGTAAAAATTTAGACTGTAACTAACGACAGCAAGATTTAACTGACCACAATCTATTGAAATGGCATTATTTATGAGAGGGTGAATGGAGGACATGTTTCCAACTAAATGCAGCTATCACATAGATAATTTCACCCCTTACAGTCGATTTGCTACATACCGTATCCAACATTAACTCGGAAAAATTGTGAATTGGGCTGGAGAATATAGTATAACATTAAAAGGAGCTAAACCGATATTGCCACTCGAAGAGAGAAGATTCACACCACATATATAATTTATATAATATCTCCTTAATCATGGTATCAGGAAGGTACTGGTTCACTTATTCATCTTTCAACTTTAAAACTGGTTAACCCCACGCCTACCTAGACCCCCACGCCGTTACCTTCTTGATGTTGGTCCATGCCAGAGAGTGTGGGTGCAAGGTAGACTCGAGTTCAGCAGCAAGGCGCTTGAGGGCATCGAGACGCCGTTCGCGCTCGCTGAGGTCGTCAGAAGAGCAAGACTCGTAGCCAGACGTGCCTGAGTCGCTCAGACGAGAGTTGCTGCCGTAAAGGGATAATGAAGAGCCCGTCTCGCTTTCACCGTTCTGAAAATAAAAATTTAATTAGTCACAAGTCAATGACAAGTTCTTACCTACAAAATATGGAAAATATGTCTTACGATGCTATAAAAGGACTTAGACCCTTTTGATCATAAATTTAAATTAGGCGAAAAATCAATGACGTGGAGGTTTTAGATCAGAATAATATTAATAATGAAAAAAAGCCTTTATTTTCAAGACTGACAAATCATTTTATGTAGGCTAGAAAATTAATTTAGCATGCAAGTTTCGTAATCACAAATAAATTAGAATTAAATTAAAGTCACAAAAATGTAATTATCTTTGGGCAATTAATTGCCTAATAACGCCGCCCTTTAATTAAGATAATATTGATGGCACTTCTAACTGATGCAACTTATTTAGGGACAGGAATTCAATTAATCTAACTTTATCAAAAGTTTTAAAATCGTTGCATAAAAAAGATAAATTATTTGAATTTCATCCCTTTTATCAATTTCAGGAAGGTAGAAACAGCAAGGAATATACAGGCGAGAACTGACCCAAATGAATGGACAATGTTAAGCACGACTCATTAAAGTTGCTCAAATAAATATTCACTACTTTAGAACATCAGAGTAAATTACTAAATAATTCTCTCGATTTCCCTGGAAATTAATACTGCCAAACGAAAAGGTAAACGCACTTGAGGAACCCCGCTTTGAGCAAATAGCTTCGCTAGTCCCCTGGCGGTGCCACTGAAGCTCTCAGGAACCCTGTCGCCATCTGTCTCATGCTGGAGCTGTAGCTTGCTGAGGGCTGCAGGCCCACCATTCACGGCATGCTGCAACCTACTGAGGGCTGCATCGTCCTGCTGCAGGCACCGACGGAGCTCGTCCGCTTGTTTGTTCCATGCCTCCATGGCAAGGTGATCTGCCTTCTGGTAGAGATGCTGTAGTTGGTATTGCAACATCGGCAACTGGTGCGAATTATCGACCGTGTGACGGTGAACGTTGAGGCTAAGCTGACTCAACTCATCCTGAATCTCTGACAATCGGTCTTGACGCGCCTGCACAACGTATTCAGAATATAAACCAATAATCTAATAAGAACAAAACATAATTTGTTACAAAGGTATAGAATAAGCATAAAAAATATTGAATTTATTCAAGTCATTCACTCAATTCTAGTAGTTCATTGTAGAGTAGATATCTGCGAGGCAATTATTGTGGAGTTTAATAAAACTTTGCTGCCGAAAATTTTTATTTAATTATACCGCACACTATACACGGTATAGTGAAGCCATCGCAGAAAATCGCTGCTTGCTGGATAAACAGCAACGATTATTTATTACTTAACTTTTGTTATGGTTCTATAAAAAGCGGCTATTGCAATCGCATTTCCCATCTGAATGATAATCATTCAAACATGGAATTACATCGGACAATACAATATCAAATAATTCTTCAGACAACTCATCACAAAGAAAAGGCGAAACAGTAAAAAACACGTAGAATCAATATTAATATAGCAAAAGTCAAATAATGCCTTCATTTTAGATATTATTTAAAAAGTCAGCATAATTAATGTACATACAGTATATATACCGATATGTTGTTTCATCCGTCCCAATCGGTAATAATTTTTCGCATTTAAAATTAAAGTGTTCTATACGTTTTCCTTGCCCTTATAACGTCGGAAATCGGTCGCTTCAATTAATTGATAACAGCTTTATTTTGTACATAGAATAAAGTTCAATTTTTTAACTGTGTACCGGTACCAGAAATAAAATTTTACCAGTCTCATTTTTAGCAATATTTGTTGTCGTGCCTTCCCATATTGTTTGAATAACTTAAAAAATTAAATATCGTCCTTAGATCAGAACTAAAATTTTATATGCACCGCAGCCATCTAACTTACCGTTTATAGTCCGTACAAATTTAACGATATAACAGGACAGTTCTTAGAAATTTCTCAACGAAATGTAATGACAGAATTTCGACGCTTTCGAGCGAACATGAAATTTCAACAGAATTAGCGGATCGAGATATTAGGCAAAATGTACAAAACCATAACTAGAACTTAACTAGTTCACAAACTCGATCCACATCTAAGAAGAGTAGATGTCTGACGAGAGAGAAACGACTAACTCACCTGTGCTATAGCGAGGATATTGCAACATCGGCAACTGGTGCGAATTATCGACCGTGTGACGGTGAACGTTGAGGCTAAGCTGACTCAACTCATCCTGAATCTCTGACAGTCGGTCTTGACGCGCCTGCACAATGTACGAAATGCAATGACAGAATTTCGACGCATGCCAGCGATCATGAAACTTCAACAGAATTAGCGGATCGAGTTATTTGGCAAAATGTACAAAATCATAATTAGAACTTAACTAGTTCACAAACTCGATCCACATCTAAGAAGAGTAGATGTCTGACGAGAGAGAAACGACTAACTCACCTGTGCTATAGCGAGGCGATCACGGAGCTGCTGTAAACTGTGCACGTCTGCGGTGGCTTTGCTGAGGAGGGAAGAAGTAGAGGCGGACCTCGTGCCAAGTGACGCATCATCGGCGGCGCTCGCGCCGGACTCCGAAGACGGAACACTGACCGCTGACGCGGAATGACATCCATCTGACAAGGCTCCATGACCCGACTCAGTGTAGTGCTGCTGTAGGGCGTCCAGTTTCATGTGCAGCTGCTTGATGGTCGTGTGCAGAGCATGCAGCTGCTGAGACTGCTGCTGCCGGGCTGACGCGCGCTGCTGTACTGACTCCCATCTCTGGATCAGACCTGGAAATAACATGGATTTGAATAACATTGTCATTATTTCGTGAGGTTAGGTGAACCAAAATGTCCAGTGTTGTCTCGAGTGGGGAAGTCGTGCAGGGACTAGAAAATATTAGTATTTTGATAGTATTCTGAGTATACTAACGCCACTATACAGGATTGATTAGAGCAAATTTGTCTTAAACGATCGTTATTTTCTTGCGAGCATTTAGAACTTCATCAACAGTCAAATTGAGGTATTGATATTACCGCGTCATTGAAACTTTCAATGCAAGCACAAATGCACACACGATTTTGAAAAAAATACTTCAAGCTCTATTTTCATTCTTTCAGTAACAGTCAGAGCGTTCATAACTTAAATTATGAGTCTAATAACAGATACAGTCGAAAAATGAATCGAAAACCAGAACAATTCCGAAAGGCACTCACCATTCGAAATAACAGAACTTTCATCGGGATTTGGATTAATTAAATTAGAAGAGACCAATATGTTTTCGGGAGTTTTTGATTCCGATTGTTCAGCGTTGTAACTTGTATTTTTAATGGTAGAGTCGGTGGCTATGGTTGCCTCTTCAGAATCTGAAAATCCCATTTCAGATTTGTTACTTGTAGACCCTTTGGACGGTATTGTCGATGAAGTATTTCCTAAGAACTCAGTCATATTTCGCTGAAGACGCTTCTCAATTCTCTTCTTACTAACTTTCTTTCGAGTCATTTTTCGAACAGCAGGAGAAGACAGAGCGCTGGAAGATAATCTATCAAGAACATTTTGATCGCCACGCACTTTTGCGTTCACCAATGTAGGGAACTCTGAAATATCAAAATTTTGAGGCTTAGTTCCTCGAACCGAGGTTGATTGAACTTGGCTCGGAGATAAAGAGTTTTCTCGGGATGCCGAACAAGAACCTTCTTCACCAGATCCTTGTCGTGCAGAAGATGCAGATGACGTTGGACGGGAAACAATGGCAGGGACAGGTGAGTTTGGAGGAGTAACGGTAGCACTTGGTGGGTTTGAAGTAGATGGGGCGACAGTTTCAAATAGTACTGGAACCTGGATGTCATCACTTTCATTTGAAGAACTACCAGTGGTAAGAGCATGGCTCGCAAGAACTATGTTCAACTGCGCGCAGTGACAATCTTCGTCATACATGAGAATACTTGAACCATGTGACCCCTCAGAACTCATAGAAATATTCGACGCTTGTACATGGGAAGGATCCAAGACATTTTTAGATAAATTCAGGGATAATGAATGAGAATCTGAAAGGTTAGGAAGATGTCGCTCATCAAATTCTGTCGAACTGATTGTTGCAGGATTATTATCGCCACAAGACTGATCTGTAGAGTCTTCCGATAGTTCCAAGTCGTGGCCTTTAACGAATTCATCACTCGGTAAATTCAAAACTTTGACACTCTCAGATGAGTCATTTGAATTTGGCCCATTGTCGTGACGGTCGATGATGTAAAGAGAATAATCTTCATTGCTGTCGAGGGAATCCCGAGTTTTATCCAATTCAGCACTGGAGTCTTTGTCTACACTGAATGTGGCACAAGAATATTGAGCCTTGTTCAATTCAATGCTAGACTCATTATTTACTGAATTAATTTTATTGCTTGGATCAGGAACGTTTTCAGAATTCACACACAAATTGCCGGCATCGGTAACAATATCAATTTGGGACACTTTAGCACCAATTTCAATACATGCATTATTGCCATCTCTGATATCATTTTCAACTTCCTGTGACGATCTCAGATCCTCCCTTTCTTGAGAATCAAAATCCCCGAACACGACATCAGAGTTTCTACCAAGAATTTCAGGTAGAATTAAGCAACTCCGAACGCTGTCTTGGCCATTAGATTCACTATTGCTACTCAAATATTCGGTTTCTGGATGTTCTTTCTCAGCTGTTTCACTCACTTTGATGATGACATTATAGTTACAAACGCCGGGCGGAACAAGTGCGCTTTCCTCACCAAAGAGGTTACTCAATTTATGAGGTATTTCTTCTGAACAACAGGCATCTTGATTCGCCAATTTATCTCTGATGACAATGTGAGTTTGAGTTCTGCTAAGGGGAAAAGGTCTCAAAGACCTTTCCAATTGAGCGAGAAAATAAGCAGTTGTAATGTCTTCGTAATTAGTTTCAGCCGCTTGAACTGAGTTCCATTCACTGATTTCATTAATTTGCTCAACATTAGAAGTCAACTGAACCTGACGTCCCGTTTCAGTAGTGACAGGTAATGAAGTGATAGGTTTCTCGCTGTGCTCTTTTTCATTATTGTTTACATTAATTCCTTCAGCGTGTTTGTTTGTTTTTTCCGCTTCAAATTGTTTGGAATCTTCGGACGCGACGGAGCTGCTTGCTTCTTTTTGAGTACAGCTAAGCCGGTCACTCTTTTCGCCGAGGTCAGCAGCCAGAGACTCTGATTGCCCAAGGTTCGCGAGCACAAGTGACGCCGGTGAAACTGTAGGCTTGGTGTCACGAAATTTGGTCACATCTTGCCTCCATTTGCTGCCGCGAATTAGGCGACGCCGCTCTACAACAGGGGACACAGAAGCAATGGGTATCGATTCTTCTTTGCCGTCCAGCTTGTTCTTTTTGCCTTTCTTTTTATGTTTCGAAGTTTTGATCTTTTCCACAGATCCATTTAGTTCTCCCTTGAGCTCTTCTTTCTCAAAATTAGGAGGAATCTTGACACTCAGTTTATTGCCACTGTTTTTCACGTCTTTCTTACTTTTACAAGTTTTATGATCAAGCAGCCCATCCTTTTTTCCGGAAATAGATGATGGCGCAGAGTTTCCCGGGTGATCCTGTATAGGGTCAACATTACTCAATCTTTCCAGGATTATATTTTCTTTATCATTAATATTTGCAACCTTAGATTCGCCTTGTACAGTGATGGTAGTTTCTGCACCTGTGTCCACGGTGCTGGGATTTTCATTAATGTCGTGTGGCCCAGTATCAGGCTTTGAAGATGGGCAGATTTGATCAAAAATCAAGCTTTCTGAATTTGCTGTCGTATTTTTACCCACTATATCATTATGGTCGTTAAGAGTGACATCAATATTTTTGTGAGAAACATGACTGGTGGATGTTATGCCCAAGCTATCGTTGAGGCATGGAGCCAGTAGGGAAGAGTCATCGACGAACGATGAAAAGGCTTTCGGAATGAGGATTCCAGCTTCAGCGCTAGACGCGAAACTATTTGATGTCCTGGATGCATTCTGAGAATCTCTGAATTCAAGACACTCTTTGTCATAGAAATCTTTCAATGAAGCAGAAGCTGATTCACATGTAATTTTCTTCAGAGTTTCAACGCATGATTCGTTTACAGGATATCCTGCAGTCACAGAAGTTTTTTCAGTCAACAAAGGTAGTTCTTTATACTCTGATGAGGCAGACGTGTCAGTAATTGGTACGGGAGTATTCGAGCACTCGGATTCTTTTGACTCTTCTTGATCAATGCTAGGGCACATTTCATGAACCTCGGCCAACTCGTGTGTGGTCGAAATTGTCGAAGGGTGGCATAATTCAGTAGGGTACTCATTAGTGATGAGTGGAGAAGCGTGAGTGCTAACAACAGAGGCATTGTGTGAATCTTTATGAATAAACGACTCCTGAAGATCTTCATGAATGAGTTCCGTTTCCCAAAACGATTCTGTTTTATGTTCAACTTCAGACGTTTTGCCAGACTCAGCGTTAACGCCACGGTTTTCCTCAACAGACGAAGAGGTCGCGTCCGGTTGTAAATCAGACAACAATAAAGCAGAATATCTTCTGGAAGGGTCGTCGTTAAGCGAGGAGCCTTCATGACTGAGAGTCGGGGTATCAAAAACAGAAATCGAAATGGGGTTCATGTCCTCATCATTGGTGCACTTGGAGGCATCATCAACCTGGCATTTAACACTAGCATCGGCATCGTATGATTGGTCCGCGTTGCTCGAAGCCTCGAGTAATTTTTTATCAGGATCTGCATTTCTGTTGATTGACTGGATTTCCTTCAAAGTGCTGCTGCTCATCCGCAGAGTCGGTGCGGAATCCAGCGCACTATTAGCATCAATTTGTTCCATGTCTTGCAACTTTCCGGAATCATGAGCTACAAAGTTGCCAACATTAAATTTGATTCCGCGCACATCGAAACCAGTCAGCTTAATATTGTCGTACACATAATTTCGACTTTCAAAATCATTTAGACACTCTGAATATTGCGACATTTCAAGCTTTTTGTGATTTCATAAACAATGATATTTAGAAACAATATAGCTGAACGGATAACACAAAACAGATTGAACAGTACACAATCGAAATGAATTGAACTATCTGCACGAATACGAATAATGATTAGGAAGAAATTATGCCTAAAAAGTTCAAATTTTAATAAATGTGAGTGAACTGTCTCAAATGTCAAGAGTTTTATGCAGGCTAGTCCTAAAAGACATCGAGCGCAGTTCATTGAACTTTTCATTTAGAAGTTCAGCACATGAACTGCTTGTATATTTCAACGCTACCACGCTGTTGAATATTACTAAGCGACGACGTCGAGACACGCACTGAGTTGACAGGACCAACAAATGATACCGGACTGAGAATTTGGCCGAATGATACCGGACTGAGAATGTCACACAAACGACGAGAACCGCCGATTAATGAGCAGTAAAGAGTAGCAGTAGGGAGCTGAAACGGATCATGGCATGGGGTGCGCGCTGCTTTTGGCACCTAACCTAACCTAAGGCAGACCCACACAACGTCTATAAACAGCCGAGCGGACCTCTCCGTCGTTTTGCAACATGCACGACCAAGCATACGCATATCTCTACCGATATCGCGAAGACATGCAACTAATGACAAGGCTGATGTAGATGATAGAAACGGAGGCACTGATAACGATTAGGATGATAACGATTCTGACTATGTAGTCTATTTGGCCTCGAGTCAATTGTAAATTTGTAATAAATGATAAAGTTAAACGCAAATCTGCCGTTTTTGAGCCTTTTGAAGAAAAATTTTCAATTTTGCAAAGTAATCAGGTAATGTCTTACACACTGTATGAGTATATATGTAAAATATCTGACTGAATCTTACATATATATATGTGTGTGTGTGATCCCGCTAATCAATGCATCATTCTTTGGACTGTTGCTACAAACTTGTTTATGAACAAGAAAACTAAAAATTCAATACATATTCAGTCAATACACTAAAAAGCACCAATTAGTACGCGACACGCGGAGAGTTTTTGAGAGAAGCCGAACGCCTCTCCACGTCCTACCTCTTTGGCGATTCAACGCACACTGAGTCATCACAAACTACTGCCAAGTTGCCAACTGCAACTAAACATTGATAGCCGCGAGTTGCAGCATCAGGCCAAGCTCACAACAGAAGAGGGTTGGGGTAGCGTGAGGAGAAAATAGTACCCTGTTGGTACATTTCGTTAATGAAGGAGTACGACAGAGTGTACAAACTGCTTAGGCTCAAGAGTACGCTGAGGGTGCAGAGTATATGGTCCGCAGTGGCAACTGTTGTAGCGCGTTCAACAGTAGTTATCAACAACACGTACACTTGCTCCGGCTTTGAATGCCTAAGCTGCTAGATATCACCAGGAAATGCAGCCATTAAATCTCTTGCATGCATTATTAAATTTTTAAATACTGGACAAAATGAAATCATTTAAGTTAAACGCAGCATTTGAGACACTGCAATACAGTGCAACTCTTGAGTTCTCCATCGTGCAACAAAAAAACAGTCATGCAAGCAGAAAAAATTGTTTGGCAGAAAGGTCGACGGAGAATTCTATGAGTTTATTCTGTGAGAATAAGCTTCCACATTCTACGTTAAATAATTGGTGGAGAGCGGGGCTGAGAATTTGCTCAAAGCAAGTAAACGGTAAGAAATAAACTCCGAGCCCACCGAAAATGCACTACTGTATACATGGAAAGCTCCAGCTATGAATCTATTTGCAAGAAAAACCTAATTAATTTCTGTAGATGATCTAATTTTCAATCACCCATTTCAGAAATGTTGTTCTTGGAATTGTGGAATCTCAGTAATACAATTACTAGATATTAATACTATGGATAGGATAAATCAAGGACTGCAATGCGAGCTACTATGTATGAATTACTGCACGTATTAATTCGACCACAAACATATAATCCTTCTCAACGAACCCAGCGGAGGCATGCGCGGGCAGATGCCAACACAGCATGCATGTTACGTGAGCAACGCCTTGCTTGAGTAAACGGCTCACTGATTGCGTAAGCCACACGAAAAAAATGCTACATGCGTGAATTCCACGAAAAATTGACAATAATATCACTAAACGTCCCACAAATATTTAAAAATGCATTATATATATTAATATATATAAGTGAGCTACAGAAAACTGAAAATGCTACACTTATCAACTATATGAAAAAAATTAGGATAATGTCACTAAACGTCACTAACCATTTTATAAGCGCTTTGAATAAGCAAGCAGCGTTGACAAAACATTGGACAACAGAGGTCGACATAGTATCACTGTCTCACATGATCTAGTTTTTACTTGTGATAGAGATTATCTTCCTGTAATCGACCAGTTTAACTTTTAATGAACCTCGCCGCTGGGCATAGTTTGAAAGCCTTATTTAATAGTTTTTAAAAATATTTTTAATTATCTATTAGTCAATTTCATGAAAACCTTTCCTTCAAGACATTCTTAATATCTGATAGCAGATAGCAGAACTGTATATTCAATCGTAAGTGAAGAATTATTTAAAAGTATTATCCCGTCTAAGAGTCATTATTATTATTTATTATTTTATTATTATCCCATACAGGTCAGCCAAAGAATAGGTACAAAAATATCGTAGAATACACTTATAAGTTGTACTATCTAAAATGCAATCTATCATTTCAAGGCTTATAACGATAGTTACTTTAGGCAGGTAACAGCAGGTGAGCAACAAGGAATAACGGGCAAGAATTGGATATTGAGAGGCAACCCCTCAAGAATAAAAAAAAAATGAAGAAATAAAAACAGTAAGAGGTGTAGAAGTTAAGACTAGTTTGTACATAAAATAGAGAATTTAAAACTGTACTTACGAACTCAGAAGTAAGAGGTATTGAAGTTAAGACTTGTTCGTGCATAAAATAGAGATTCAAAACGGTACTCAGGAACCCAACAGTAAAAGGTAATGAGGTATAGATAGAGGTTAAAACTTAAAACATAAAATAAAGAATTTGAAACGGTACTTACGAACTCAGCAGTAAGAAGTACTGCAATTAAAACTTGTTTATAAATAAAATAAAGAATTTAAAACGGTACTCAGGAACCCAACAGTAAGAGGTATAGATGTTACGACTTGTTTGTAGATGAAATAGGGGATTTAAAACAGTACTCAGGAAGTCAGCAGTAACAGAAGTTAAGCTGTGTAAGCATACTGACCGTTCAGAGCGCTGATGTGGTGCTGCACGCGGCCGCTGCGCTGTAGAGGCGCCAGCAGGTCAGGCAAGGCAGTCAAGTTGGTAGAGCAAAGTGACAGAACCTCGCCCTGCCAGGGACATTAACCATCTCATCAACTCACCACATCATAAAACCCCTTCCAATTCTTAGTTCAATGATACAGCCTCTTTTTATTCCTTCTTGAATAATTATAAACACAGATTTGGGGCTTGTTCGATTTATTTATTAGTGCTACCCTGAAGTACTTAATTTACAATAATATGGGAAAGGAACACGAAATTCACTATGAACATAATAATTAAATGTTACTATTTCATTATAATCTCATAATATTTAATAATAATAATAATGTCAAGCATGCCAAGGGACTCACATAGTCCATAAGATGGACAGAGGCCTCTTCATCGGAGTGTTTGCTGAGGACGTTTTCAGCGACCACGAGATGCGAGCGGCTTTCCTTGATGAGATTTACGACGTCCTCGATGTCTGAATCAGAGTCCAGCTCCTCTCTTGCAGCTTCACGGTTCCTGCGAGCTGATCTGTTGCTGCGATCACTGTTACCGCACTCTAACTTATCGTTGGTTTTGCTACGTTTTTCTGAAACCTGACTGCATTGTGACCTGGCCTGGTCCGACTGCGACACTCCGTCCGACACGTTCACGTCCTCTGGAATTTGCTCACATCCTCTTTTCTGGAATTTCTCGGGGGATTTTGAAGGGATTTCGTCGCGTTGCTTTACAATGGGCTCATTTGTGTCATCGATGTCGAGGGAATCTGTAATGCGACTGCTTGGCAGACTACGTTCACTTGCACAGCCAGTTTGATCGTATCCTCTCTTGTTAATATTGCGGAGTTTTGGCACGCCGAAAAATGAAGATCCACCATCTGAGTCAATATATCTTCTATAATCATCACCGAAATCCAGGAATTTTTTGGCAGCTTCAGTATCCAAGTCTTCAGAATAATTTTCGCTCAAATACTTGTTCTCCAGGAATGGGTCCCACGCTTGCTCTGAATGCGAACTCAAATCTTCTTGGTTAGCGGCAAGGTCGGCGTCACAGGACACTTTGGAAGAGAACCCAGTATGTCCGTGGCCAGAATGTTGTCCATAGGTATCTTTGAGTGAACTATTCAGAGGGCTGCCAGGGAGAGATTTATCAGATTGATCACTAGAGGAAGACAATACAGTTAAAGGTAAGGTATAGCTGAGCGGACGCAAGGGGACGTTCACGTCACTGGTGCGGAGAAGGCAGCTTGTTTTGGCGTTAGCTAGGACGGATTTTGGCACTTTATCTAGGCGTTGAGTTCCTGTTACATCTGAGGGACAGCACACGAAGCCGTGGTCAGGTAGACAAGTTAGAGTAGCTGTTGGGGAGACTGGCAGCTCAGGCATCGTTAGAGGGTGCCCTGTAATGAGTCAAAAAGGCATTAAACACAATGTAATCAGGTATAGATTAGGATGCTACCCAAATTATTTTTAAATAAATAAAACACAATGTAATCAAGTATAGATTGGGGGTGTAGTGCTACACAAATTATTTTTTCGATAAATACACAAATTCAAGGCTAAACGAAAGTATTTTTTACTGCGGTTATTTCATTTTACTGCGAATATGGAGACTAAAAATTTTAAACCCACAGAGAATATTTCACCGGTTAAGAATTTCTATAAAAAATCAAATTCTCTCATTTCACCAGATAACTATCTAAACAATTCCTGCTCAAGCTTTCAACGCATCAATTTCAAAAATTGTTAACTTATAAGAATAATGATCCTAAACAATTCCAGCTTGAGCTTTCAACGCATAAATTTCAAAAACCGTTAAATTATAAGAATAATGATGAACACTATTTCTCTCAGGAGGAGCATTATCACTCACCAGCGAAAGAAGAGCTTTTGACGATACCGCGCAGCAAGCACGCGACGGAGGCACCGCAGTCGGACGCTGAGACACTCATGCGGTGGTTGCCCGCGCCTGCCTTGTCTGATCCTGAGTCTGAGCCACGCGTGTGCTGCAAAATTACGAGTGCTTAGAAATAAGCGTTCAAGAAGAAGTAAAATTATGAGGGCTTAGAAATAGACGACGTTCACGAAGAAGTAAAATTATGAGGGCTTAGAAATAAATGTTCACGAAGAAGTAAAATTATGAGGGCTTAGAAATAAGGGTTCACGAAGAAGTAAAATTATGAGGGCTTAGAAATAGACGACGTTCATGGAGAAAACTAAGATGTTCAATAGAGCGTTCAGTATACGTGAATATAGTCGTACGTACCACGTTTTATACCGTGATGTGATGAAAACATATGAATATGCCGAGGTTAGAAAGTTTAATTTGAAGCCAAATAACTATTCACATCATATATATTCGCTAAAAATGCATTCAGTTAGCTAATGTACACTATAAGGCTGTTTATGGGACAAATTAGGCGTTCTTGCTGACGTCATATCATTTTTTTCCTAAATAAATATTCTGCAGTGCAATAGAGGTTACCCATTCCTTCATTTGATATAACGAAACATAATTTTATATCATATATTTGTGAATAAAATAAGGCTCGGGATTCTATTCATCATTTTCCTTATTGCGAGTGTATCAAGGCATCAAGTAGTATATCAAGGTAGTAAAGAGTGTATCAAGGTTTTATTGCCAGCATATAATAGAAATAATATTTTTATCCTTATTGCGAGAGTATCAAGGCATCAAGGAGTATATAAAGGTATTAAACTTAAAGAGTGTATTACGGTTTTATTGCGAGTATATCATGGAAATAATGTTATTTTCCTTATTGCGAGTGTATCAAGGCATCAAGGAGAAAATCAAGGTATCAAGACTTTATTACGCGGGTATCATGGATATATTATTTTCCTTATTGCGAGTGTATCAAGGCATCAAGGTGTATATCAAGGTATCAAGCAGTGTATCAAGACTTTATTACGCGGGTATCATGGATATATTATTTTCCTTATTGCGAGTGTATCAAGGTTTTATTGCGAGTATATCATGGAAATAACATTATTTTCCTTATTGCAAGTATGAAGCATACCAGAGATATATTCGAGCGTCGCCGTAGCTTGTGCTTGCGTCGCCTCTGCACGCCTGTAGCAGGCGCTAGGGCTGCTAGTGCCGCATCGGTGACTGCGCATGCTGCTGGCGCCGGGGCTGTGATGGGCGAGTCAGACGGAGCTGATGCTGCTGTGTTGGTCATGGTGATAGAAAACAGAAGAATTTAATTAAATTATAAAATTAGAAAATGTAATTATACGAACAATATAAAAATAATTATATAAATAAAAAATATAATTATACAAAGTATAATTATGAAATACAAAATATAATTATACGAAATTATGATTAGAAAATATAATTATACGAACATCAAGATCCGTTACTGAAAAATAACTCGAATTGTAAGCGAAGACGATGGCAAGTCCACTGCAATTCTTCACGCATAAAATTTAACAGTTTCACGCAATTAGTAAAATTTCAAGATATAAAAATTTAACAGATTCACAATCGTTTGATAAGCAATTCATGTCTACTCTGAACAACATAACTTGAAATCAGCAAATACAAGTATACTTAAAGGATTCCTAATATATTCACAGACTTATTTGAAAGTCTCAAACCATAATATTCTTTCTACACAAACAGTTTATCACTATTTGGTAGAGCAAGGTCAACTATCAGCTTTGACAAAATTTTCGATGTTCTCGGCAACTTCTCGCTGGGTGACGCACACTGTCTCTCTTTGGATCTTAACATTTTCCCGCCAGACGGCCCAGACCTAGTGTTTTGGCAGTAGTATGGCGTGCAATAGTATGAACTAATGAAGTCACTATTTCAACCATCAACGACTGCGTGGAACTAAGACACAGCTTAATATAAAGGAAAAAAATTGAGAAGTGTCAGAATTAGGTACCAACGATGTCAGAATATACTGGTTTACCCCACATGTAATTTATACTTCTTTATTCTTATTAGTTTTCGACAAAATATTTGAGGACAAAAATATGGATCATCGAAAGTAATTAAGGTTACAACATTTTTGGTATTTTGTCACAATGATCAACTTACCGGATGGTCGCAGGCACTCAGCCAACGGCTCCACGCCAATTCTGTAAAAAAAAATAAACAGATCAATCATCCGTGATCAAAAATGCAATGGAACTCGATAAGTCATACTCCGAATCGAAACTCGAAAAACCGGAATCACACTCAGGAATCGACTGAAATCGACGAGTAGGCTACCTTACGCGAGCTTGTAAGTTTAAAATCAATATAATTCTGAAGACGATCATTTCAGTAGACGACGCTTTGCCTCATCGAATTGAAGCGAACTACGACAATTCGCAATTGTATTCTACTATTGTGATGTCATAAAGATTCATGAAGATAGAAACGACACCAAGGAGCGTTCTCATGCGACAAGAAGTTGTCAGCATATATAAAAAGTGTTGAAAGTCACAGAGCTGACGCCCGAGTTGCGCCACGTGCGCAGTGCGAATCGATACGCAAGATTGAAGCTGAGCTGCTCTTGTCGAGCCGGCGATCCCGGCATCACAGACAGAATTTCATACAAAACTGAACTAATAAGCACGTTTGTTACGCACCTACCCACTATAAGAAGAGGGTGAAAAATTACAAAATTTCTTACACGCATTTTTTAACGATATAATAATTAGGGGTCTTGACTAGTTGAAACGATAGAATTTGGTAACTAATTATTTTTTCACATCATAGGAAGGAATCACTCACCTGGCTTCACAAACAACAGCGCCATACGTGGTACTAAATAAGAAAAACATGATCTCTCATAGAATAATTGAAAACTGATTATCTACGAATGCTCACGCCCTTATTCAAACACAATAAGATACAAATTAAAATAAGTTATGAACCATAATAGCAAAAATTAGAAACTTTGGTAGCCTAATCACGGTGGAACGATTCCAAAGATACTAGGTAGGTACCAAACGTTCGGGCTTAGCCGCTAGAGCTAATGACGGTTCGGTAAGCCAGTCTTGAAGAGCATAAATATCGTTACAAATAAAAGGGCAGAGGCAAATTATTCTTCTATAAGCTCTATAACGGATGTATCATTGGCGCTGTAATTCAAATATTTGTGCCGGAAAGAATAAAAGCTTTTCAGACGTTTTCCTGACTTCCAGAGAACTGTGTCAGGGAGCGGTGCGCACAGACAGTCCACCTTGGCTCGCGTCCGACGCGCGACTGATAAAAGTTAATCTGGATTCTGGATTTTGAGTTTTCGACAACCTCATAAAACCTAATCTCTACAATCCTCTCGCATGCTTCCAAGGATCTTGTTAATATATTAACCAGATCCCTAAAATTTTGAGGAATAAACTTATAACATGAATTAATGATCCCCAAATAATTGGCATGAAGTTCAATGAAAATCACTGAATTCGAAGAAAATACTAAATATAAGTAATAAATAATGATATATAACTCGTTTTTTAATTAACGGAGTTGCTGCTAAGGAAAGCTGATAGCCTCATAGAAAACAGAGAAAAGAAATCCGTTGTAAAAGAAATGTAAATCCAACCCAAAAGAAATGTCAACAATTGTAGTTTCCACAGAGAAGCCCAACAGAAACGAAAGTGACTACGTATTATCGGTTGACTGCCGATAGCGTACGGTACCTAACTACCTACGTTTCCCCGAACTCGCCAGCGGACTGAGACGCTAAAACGTACATGACGCTTATGATGCACATGGTGCCTTGCAGTGTCTTGTTGCATTCTCCACACTTGTACTCTGAATATTCAGTTTATAACTACCTTAAATCTAACTACGTATAAGCACAAATTTAAAAGATAACTAATCAGAAGCGATATGCCGTAATACGAATGATTGTACCTTATTTATATTACGTTATTTGATTTTTGATGAAAAGGAAACTTTTTGGAACCGTCACGAGCAGTGTTCCCAAAGTGGGCGGTACCGTCCCCCTGGGAATGTGGAATGATCTGGAAGGGGGGCGGCGAGGAAGAAAGGGGCAGGTGGGGGGCGGCAGTTCGAAGTTCGAACGTTTGTTTGACGATTTGTACACAACACGTGCAGCACGTGACTCTATACTACGTCGCGGCCGGTCTCACGCCCCAATTTAAAAAGAAATTCAATAATCAAAGAATATATCCCATACTAATGAACTTAACTCGATGAAACCTTTTAAACGCATTCAATAGGACCTAACGGTGATGAAAATTTTTGGAATTTAGCCTTCATTCGTTGGTTATATGGCGGTACAGGCCGAAATTCGCAGTGATCAAGGAATTTATTCCTAACTGCTGAACAGATTCGAACGAAATTTTGATTAAACATACCTAACTACCGAATGGCGATGCTTAGCTCGCGAAAATTTTTTCGATTTTGGCCGCTTCACCTTCATTCGTGATTTAAACAGCAAAAAGTGCATGAATTCGCAGTAATCAAGAAATTTCTTCTGGACTGCTGAACAAATTTGAACGAAACTTAGTATGTAAATACATAACCTCAGCAACGGTGATGTTTAGCTCGTGACAATTTTTTCAATTTAGCCTTCGTTTGTGAGTTATACGGCTATACGTATACGGCTCTTGGGAAAACCGGTCGAAATGCCGGTCGTTTCTCCGTATATCCGAAGGCAAAACGAAGACAAAAACGAAATATAAACGAAATATACGTTTATAAATATACGAAATATACGAAGGCAAAATAGACAAAAATTGTCATTAGCTATACGTTACCGTTGCTGAGGTTAGGTATTTATATATTAAGTTTCGTTCAAATCTGTTCCTAAGTTTAGACAAAATTTCTTAATCACCGCGAATTTAAGCGACCAATTCGGCGATACGGGCCGGAAATCACGAATGACTGTGAAATAAAAATAAAATCGCACGAAACGGAAGAAAATAGAAATTTTTTTCACGAATTAAACATCACCGTTTGGTAGTTAGAAATGTTTATTCAAAATTTCGTTCGAATCTGCTCAGTATTTTGAAGAAATTATTTGATCACTGCGAATTTCGGCCCGTACCGCCATGTAACTTACGAATGAAGGTGAAATTAAAAAATTTTCAGGAGCTAAACATCCACGTTAGGTCCTAATGAATACGTGTTCCAAGTTTCATAGAGCTGCGTACATTAGTTTGGGAGATTTTCTTTGATAAATTTAATTTGGAGATGGGCCGTGAAACCGGCCACGAGTACGGCCGTAAATCTGTCAAGAGACGTCCTGGGTTTCTAGTGCTGAAACAGTTAAAACTGCTAAAAATATATTGGTTTACTGGGGTTATATCTGTGAAATACACATTTGTGTCCAACATTTCACTATTAAAATTGCAGAGTACTAAAGTACTAAATATCAAGAAAGAGGCGTTTGTAGACAATAATATCACTAAACGTCCCACAAATATTTAAAAATGCATTATATATATTAATATATATAAGTGAGCTACAGAAAACTGAAAATGCTACACGCATTAGCTATATGAAAGAAATTCTGAAAATATCACTAAACGTCCCTCAAAAATTTATAAATGCATCATACGAGTATTCAAAAGTGAGATACAGAAAAAAGAAAGTGCTACACTCATAAAGTATATGAAAAAAGCAAAAAATAACACTAATCGTCCCTAACCATTTTATAAGCGTTTTGAATAAGTGAGCAACGTTGATAAAAATATTGGGCAGCAGAGGTCGAAATAGTATCACCGATCTATTTCTTAGTCATGATACAGATGACCTCCATGTAATCAACCAGTTTAACTTTAAAGGAAACTCGCCGCTGGGCTAAGCTTGAATAAATTATTTAATAGTTATTAAAATATATTTTTAATCATCTAACATCTATTAGTCAATTTCATGGAAACCATTCCTTCAAGACATTCTAAATATTTGTAAATCTGATAGCAGAACGGTACATTCAATCGTAAGATGAGCATTATTGAAAATTATTATCCCGTGTAAGATTCCATACAGGTCAGCCATAAAATAAATACCAACGGCAACTATCATAGAATACATTTATAATTTATACCATCTACGATGCAACCTATAATTTCAAGAATTATAAGTTACGATAGTTACTGGCCTTGCTTTAGACAGGTAACAGCAGGTAAGCGACAAGGAATAACGAGCAAGAATTGGATATTTAGTGGCAACCCCTCGGGAATAACAAAAATGAAGAAATAAAAACAGTAAGAGGTGTTGAAGTTCAGACTAGTTTGTACATAAAATAGAGACTTTAAAACGGTACTTAGGAACTCAGGGGTAATAGGTATTGTAGTTAAGACTTGTTTATAAATAAAATAAAGAATTTAAAACAGTACTTACGAACTCAACAATAGTAGGTATTGAAGTTAAGACTAGTTTGTACATATATAGAGAATTTAAAAGGGCACCAGAAACTCAGCAGTAAGAGGTATTTAAGTTAAGACTTGCTTTAAGTACATAAAATAGAGGATTTAAAACAGTACTCAGCAGTAAGAGGTGTTGAACTTGACTTGTTGGCACATAAAATAGAGAATTTAAAAGGCTACTCAGGAACTCAGAATTAAGAGGTATTGCAATTAGGACTTGTTTGTACATAAAATAAAGAATTTAAAAGGGTACCAGAAACTCAGCAGCAAGAGGTGTTAAAGTTAAGACTTGTTTGTACATAAAATAGAGAATTTAAAACGGTACTCAGGAAGTCAGCAGTAAGAGGTATTGAAGTCAAAACTTGCTTTAAGTATATAAAATAGAGAATTTAAAACGATACTTACGAACTCAGCAGCAAGAGGTGTTAAAGTTAAGACTTGTTTGTACATAAAATAGAGAATTTAAAACAGTACTCAGGAAGTCAGCAGTAACAGAAGTTAAGCTGTGTAAGCATACTGACCGTTCAGAGCGCTGATGTGGTGCTGCACGCGGCC